GACAAGTTCAGGTTCAGGCACAGGGCATCTGCGGGATTCGCTGAACTTCCAGGCCGCAGATGAGAATGTCCGCGCACAGCCAGCCCGCGAAGCCTGCTAACGGTGCAGTTCCAAGCAACCGCTTAGAGCGGCGAAGCTCAGACAAAAGAAAAGCTTTGTGCGCCAAGGTCCTCCAATGGTGGCGATGTCGACGCTATGAGGCCGGAGCGGGATGACTGGGGGGGGGGGGGGAAAGTGCGCTTTTCCAAGATGCCCTTGTGGTTGGGTTGCAGCAGGTCCGCATCTCCTCGACTACGCTTCATGCATGAGATCATGCGCAGAAAATTGCACCGGAGCTTACCTCCAAATGAGGCGCGTTGACAAAGAGTTGTGTTTGCTAGCATCTGACTGTTGCTCAGTCAGACTTGGTGCACAGCTGCATTGGTGGAAGATACATGTTTTGCTTGCCTTCAGGTTAGGGGCGATGCGGTCATGGAGTGTGAGGGTGGGGCGTGGATCAATGCATTGAGAAGCCTGGGATGGAAAACTGACCTGCCGCTGTTTCTGTGGCAGTTGGTGTTTGCCTTGAAGAACTAAACAGGGTTTCATGTACCATGCGGACGTAAAGGGGTTAGTGAGATTCTTTTGCCCAAGAGAGCAGACAGCCACGCCCCGGCCGCCAGATTGTACAGTGCAACCATGAAACTACCAGAGCTCAAATGGCGATGTGGTCCAATATGGCCAGCCGTTCCTTTGCGAAGGCTGTTGGACCAAAATGATTGGCGATCTCGGGTTCGAAGTTTCTTTTAATCACATCATTTGGGTGCTGGAAATGCCACTTGAGCAGATTTTTGAAGTACGACCCGCAGCATACCTGCAAGCAGAACGACTAGCCTTGTGTGTGAAGCCACGTTTCGTTCCGCTTACCAGGACAGTGCTTGCGGATGGTCATGTGCCGCTTTAGTCAGGCACACGGCTCTGCTGGCCAGCATGTGTGAATGCTTCTGGTTCCGTAATTCGTGGAAACTGCTAAAGTTTCTATGTCTTGGCGCCCTTTTGGTCCAGTGCATGAAGCACCGATTCAACACGATGTGTTCCTTGACTGCACGGGACTCTCGTGTCAGATCATATCTCCTTCCGAAATCACTGGAGTGGTGCCTTTTTTGGGCTGTCAAGGCAGTTTCCCCGGTTGGCAGTGGTTGCTTTGATGTGAAGGTCCCGAAGTCTGCACATCACTGCCATCCACCTTTGGCGACACCTGTTTGGATAAGCTTTAGAAGGTGCCTGCGAAGTCGCTTTTTAACCCATAGCCGCCAGCTAGTGCTGCTTGATTTTGGAGCCCGCTGTGCCTCCTGGTGTTGGCAGATTGGGGGGTTTCGCTGAGCTTGAGGAGCTTCGGAGGCTTCACGAGGAAGCGTTCCTTGAGCCAACACCAGGCGTGGGGCTTTTGTGAACTCCACGAGGAGGACTGTCCGAACGTTTGGATGGCTTTCTCGCTACATGACCAGGCGGCCAAGCGTGAGCACGCACACGCATACCGAAGGGAATGCCCACAAACCGTTCAAGAAAGCTCACTCAAATAGCGGCCAGCGACCACAAATCAGGTGGATGGATGTCGCGCGTTGCCTGGGGCTCTTGCAGTTGATTGAGCAATATCGAGCATCTGGTGGCGCACCACCCCGAGCCGCTGCCACTGCTTCTGCCGCAGCCGTTTCTAACTGTCAGCGCGATCTCTGTTTGTGCGCATAGGGAGAGGGGGTGCAGACACAGCGATGGCCCCCGGTGTAAGTGCCGGGCCCTTATTCATTTTGTGAGCTTCGACTGGCTTTGGCGACTTTTCCCCTTGTATGTTACACCACTGGGTGACTCGCAGCTTTCCAAGAGTTGTCTTCGGAAGCCCCACGAAGTGCCGCCCCTGTGATTCTTATGTGCTGTCCTTCACACTTTGGGTGGCAGGGGTCGTTTGTGTGCAAACTCAAGTTGTTGACTGAACAAGGCTAATGCTTGGATGCAAGACAGACAGCCTGCGACCGAGCTGCTCTGATGGCTTTCCGTGTGGGAGTTTGGGTCATCGACGGCTGTAACGGCTTCGAGGCAAATGGCTGGAGCTGTCAACTTCTGGCAGCCGCGGCAGGAGCAGCAGCTCCTTGGCCGTCGCGATAGCAAGAAAGAAAGTTTCGAGGGACCGAAAGGGACCCACCAGGGTTCCCATCCAAGCGCTCGTTCTCAAGTCGACTGAGGTTGCCGAGCGATGCAAATTGGTTTGGGAATGATTCCGCGGCTGATGGTGTGACTCCAGCAGAGGCGGTGTGGGGAGTCGGAGACCTGCCTTGGAGTTGCTTACTTGCCTGGTTGCGGCCATTTCTCCAGATTTCCTGCTTCGAAACACAGTTCGATTTGTTACCTTTGTCTTAGAAGGGGTTTTCCGCTCCAAGCCTTTTCTGGACCGCTGTGGCAAAGGAGCCTATGGACGCCAAGATCAGAAAATCTTGGCTTCGAAACTGACTTCCGGCGCCCTATGCAACCCTGTAGCCCAGCTTCAGTTCTCTTGAGGCGAAGCCCAAACAGCCTTTCCAATCCCCAAGTCCTCAGAAAAGAGACATTGGATCTTGGCTTATCTCCTCCGGTAGCCCTTCGCCCTGCTCTGACTTTCTCTGCCTGCAAGATCTGCTCCAGGGCATACATCACCCGACACATCCCGAAGTCCCGAGTCCTCCACGCGCAGTTGGCTCTTCTGCAGCGGCTGAACGACGGATCTCAGTGGCAGTGGTGGCAGACGGAAGCCAGCTCCCGAGAGTCGAGTCAGGTTGGCTGCTGATCCTAGGGGTTTCCGTCCGTGCCTCGTGTTTCCGTCGTTTGGGGCTTGGACGAAAACCCAGATACAGACTGTGAGCATGGTTTTTAATGGCTGAGCACCGATGTGAAGGTCCACAAAGCAAGGTGTCCGCGAACGTTTTGCCATGGGTTCGCGACAGCAAGCAACAATTTGCGCAAGTGTTTAATGCAGAAGACTTGGGGCAGATATAGTATTGTGTACATGTACAAAGAATATGCCACCATTTTGCAGGCGGTCATAACGTGTGTCGATTATAGCACGACCTGACACACCATTCTGGATTCAGCAGGAGAAAAATACTGTTGAGATGAGGCACCGGCACAGAACGGCAGCGCCCCAGCCGGCGACGGCGAATGGACGGCCGGTGGTGTCTGGCCCTGGCAGGGTTCAGGTGCTTTGGGGGCAGACCTACGGTGATTGCAGTGTGATTGTCATTCGTGTCATTGTCTGTGTCACTTACTGACAATAGTCTGCTTTCTTGCATCGCCAGTATTAATCATGTTCTTCTAACTTTGTTTACATCATAATACCCGGGGTTGTGCATCCACATTGTCTGTGCGGTGCTGGAACCCGCACGACTGTGATGGGGTTGGAGGCATGTCCGAGATGAATGGGGCGACCCGCCCAGCAATGGAGGCATCGTCTGGATTGGTTTATGCAGGTGTTGTCATGCTCTTCTCTCTTGTCTCTGAACTGTCCAGGCTGCCCAGGCTGTCCAGGCAGCACAGGCAATGACCGCCATGGCTCCTGAAGGCTCCCGGGGAGCAAATCTTTTCGGCCCCTCAAGGTCTCGTTTGGGTTTCCCGGTCTTGGTGTGCAGAACTGGTGTTTCTGACAGCGGCCTCTTGGCCAAACTACGTTTCTTGCAAGCGCAGGACAGAGATCCAGGTCCAAGGTGCTTGAAGGCCCAGGAAGAGCTTGCTCAGCCGCGGCCATGTTGAAATCGCAATCGAATCCATGCGAGTAGCAACATTTCTCCTCTTCTTCCACTGCAATCGCACGAACCGCAAGCTCCTCCGTAGGCGATTGGTCCGCGGGTGTGGCGCAGCCATGGAATTGGCAAGGCACTAGGGGCTCACTAGGGGGCCTTATAGGGCCCTAGGGCCCAGGGTCGGGCCGAGGGGTTTGATTTGTAGCTTGGGGTCTGAATCTTTGAGCTTCGAGGTGCTTGGCTAAATTGCGTTCCGAGCTGCATCCTTCGAAGTTTGAGGTGTGTGTGTCCGACCCATTCAGGCACTTCCGATGTGGATGCTGTGGCTACTTCGCTTCCGCAAGTGGATGTTCAGGCCGCACCGAAAAGAAGGGTGGAAGGAGTGCAGCTCATTGGTTTGTGCATGATTGCCAGTATTTTTCATTGGGCAGTTCGAAATATCGCGTTCTGACTGGGAACAGCTTGCCAAGCTTGAAGCGTCAGCGATGCTTGGATAAGAGAAGACAGTCCAGGCTCAACCTACTCCGTCCTGGTCCTGGGATCAAGGCCGGCAAGGTGCCGAGCAACATGGGGCCAAAAGGGAGTTCCTGCAATGCGCAGCTTGGCCCCGAGATCGAAGTACTACTGTAGGCCTCCGTGACAGGGGTCTCTGTAGAGATTTTGGCATGGACGGGGAGGAAGCTGCCTGTGCCAGGCTTGGCCGAGAACTCTGCGACTTCCATCAGAAGTTCCCTTCCCCAGGCAGTTGTCTTGTTTTCCGGATGTGCATGCCTGCCAGCACTCGCGAGGAGCGCATAGGCGTTTCTGCCCTCTGGGTAGAGGCCGTGATAAACGAGACCACCTCCTCGAGATCTGTCTGCATCCTGTAGTGCAGAGACTCCCAAATGATCCCGAATCCCCGAAGCTGAAAAGACAGCCTTCTTGCAAGCCAGAATTCTCAAACCATGCTCTGAAAGATCAAAAGCGCTGAGCGGAGGTGGCTGCAAAGATCCTCGGAGCACCTCCGGGTCTCGGCACCCCCGCAGCCGACGCGGACGGTGTCGGTTTGTTTCGGCAGAGTTGAGGATGCATCGAGAAGCCCGTTGCGCGATCGTCGTGTTCTTTCAGGATAGCAGTTTAGGGACATATGATATTACTCCAAAGCCTACTATTTTTTTTTGTTATTATTATTACTACATATTATTACCCCGGCATCAGACTCTCTAGGCTCAATTGCTGCGATGCGAGGATCCCGACAAGGGCCTCGCGGAGCAGATGACGCCTGGGCCACGGTCTTGTGCCCCCCCAGGTCGAGCTGCTTCGCAAGCGTATAGCGTAAGATGCGAGATTCCGTTTTTGAAGAATGGAACACGTAGAGAGTAAGTGAGGCTGCGTGGGTTTTACGCCAGCATAAACCCACAGGTGCACACAAGCACACTTGCCTGTATCATCTACATGTCCGTGCCTGCCTGTCTGTCTGTGTGCTTGAATGTCCGTCTGTCTATCTGGCTGGCTGGCTGGCTGGCTGGCTGCCTGCGTGCCTGCCTGCGTGCCTGCCTGCGTGTCCACCAATGCTCCAGAAGGAGGGAGTGATGTGGGCATGTGTCAGACGTTTAGCATCTGAAGCCTCCTTCTGGTTGCAAGGTCTGCGGTGGCGCTGTTCCTGGCCGGCGCGGATTTCGATGAAGCGGATCTCCCGGCTGGTTTGGAGATGCGGCTGAACACCTTGAACGCCTGAAATCTTCGGGAAGCGCTACTTTGAAAACAAAAGACCGTCAGCCAACAGGACAGCGACGAAGAACCTTCGCCAGAGCCAGTGCCCAGCGGCGTGGTCGGCGAGGCCTGGGTGGATGTAACTTTGGGCCCTTCGCACTAGGATTTGGCTTGTGGTTCCTGTGAGGGCCCGGAGACAGATCAGAAGTTTGCGGGTTGCAGAGTTGCTCTCAGGGCGTGACATGTAGGCCGAGGCTTCGCAGATTGCAGAGGGTCCGGTGGGCAGGGTGGGGGCCTTTGAGATGGGATCTTGTTCGGGATTCACTTGTGTTCGTCCTTTGCTAGACAGTCTGCATGCCAGAACTGGAAAACCACTCTCACAGTCCATTCCTGAGGTCTCAATACCAAGGCTTCGCAGAGTACAGAGGTTGGAAGGAGCAGTCAAACGCATATCGGCATACCATTCAGGTTCACGCTCCTCATGGATGAGACATGAAGATGGTGCGGGAGAGTTTGTGGTTGGTTCGGAGCGTAGCTTTTTCAAGCAGTTAGGAGCACTCAGGCATCTTCCACCTTCGGTGCCTCCGCGCTCGATGCCCCACCCTTTGTGCCGGGCCTGGGTGTCAGCGACTGGGCTGGAGCTTAGGACTTGGGAACCCCCCCGCTTTTTTTTTTCTGCGTCGGTTTTCAGGCCTTTAGCTGCTTGAGCTTCTTAGAGGCTTGGGCAGTCTGGCTGGAGGCTTTCCGCCAAATTCGGTGTCCTTCCAAGAGACTTAGCCAAAGTTGTAACTGTAACATGGCAGCTACATCTTTCAGGTGAGAGGGGGGCTAGAAACTTTCGACCTGCCATTGACAGTTTCCAACGGGACGAAGTCCTGTCTGTCTCTTGCTTCGGGTCTGAGGGAAACGAGGCGACTTGGCAGGTGTCGGGCTTGTGACTTGCATCTGAGCTTTGTTCCATGCCTGCGCTTTGCAAGGCACCCCAGAAGCCTCGCGAAAGGCCTTCTTGCTGCACTTACGTTAGTGACTGATGCTGGCAACTGCGTTTCAGAATGCACCAACGTGTCTTGAGAGTTGCTCCTGTCGCCCATGCGCGATTCCATGCCCCACGACTGCGTAAGTGGGTGATTGGAAATTGGGCGTGTGAATGTAGCCTCTGTGGACGCACGATACCAAGCTTTTCGGATGTAGCATCTGGATTCGGTGCAGAAGGGGAACAGTACCGTGCAACTGTGTGCAGTTATTCTCTGCATTTTGGTGTGCCCGCTCTTGCACAACTCCTTAGTGCTTGTTGCCCCCCAACAAGTGCCCAGATGCGGACCTCGCGGATGATGCCGGACTCGACTACGACGACGCCGACAACGAGCACAACGCCAACCAAGGGTGCCCCACCTGCTGTGTTGGGCTCAGAGAAAGCTTCGCCGGCAGCTCCGGGTCGAGGGCGCAGCTTTTACCGAACTTTCCCGTCTTCTCCCAGGCCACTCCTGAGACAACGAGTTCGTCGGGTCAAACGACCGAGCGGACCGAGTTGCGCCGCTGGGCTTTGAAAGCAAAGGGCATAGTTCCCGGCGTCTCATCGGGCCTAGGCCCTAGGCCCGTAACTGTAGGAACAGGGTGTCTCAACCGCAGCTTGGTTGCCTCGGCTAAAAAGCAGGCGAGCAGTGTGTCTTGGACTTTCCAGTAGGTGAAATGCCCCGTAGTCCTTTCAGAGTGCTCCCCCAAGAGGCAGTCTCAAAATGATAGTGGCTTTCCAGGAAGCATGAACCATGTTTTCCCGTGCATCTATGGCAGTCTTCATGCTTGCAGTTCATGTAGCACAGAGATGCAGGAGGAAAGAAAACGTGCCGGGATCAGGAGAAGAGGATGCTTGAGAACAAAGGAAGGAAAGCAGCAGCAGAAAGGAGAAGGAAAGGAAGAGAGAAAAGGAAAGGACGAGAGCAAAGGCAGTGAGGGCCCAACAACGGTCCACTCCAGCGGAAACGAAGAAGAAAGTTTCCGGTGAAGGAAAGAAGAAGAGGAGCAGTGAGAGGTCCAAGGACTGAGTCGGCAGCCCATGTTCAGGAAAACCCAAGGAAGTGAGTTTCAAAACAGTGTGTTTCAATCGAACGAGACTCGATGCCAGCTGAGCCTAAACCGACTTGTGCTAACTTCGAAGGCGGGGTGTTAAGCATTTTGACCTTGTAGGAACACACAGCTTGTACTGACAGGAAATGGACACAGCCCAGCGGTACAAGGAAAAGTGTGCCGCAGTGTCTGAGAGTAGGAACCCTTTGTGAACCGCGTTCTTTAACATTTGGAACAAAAAATTAGATTTAGATTTGCAGCCGTGTGTTTATTTAGAGACAAGAACCTGCTGATGTCTTGCCGGTAAAATGGATTGATGCGGGAGAACCCGAGGCCTGGACGACATCCTTCCCAAGGAGTCGACGCTGTCGATTACCAGCCCCGAGGCCAATGTTGAGGGTTTTTGGAGCTTCTGGGATGAGGGTTTGGGGATCTAGGGTTTCCGATCGTGTTGTTTTTTGGGTTTTACCGTTTACGGTTAGCGGCTTCGGTAGTGGTTGAGGTCGTTTGCAGGCTTCGCGCGTTTTTGGTGGGCAGTGCTCTGCGAGTGCTCCGAGAGAACGTAGGGCTTCGCAAAACCATGCATGCTTGCTCGGATGCACCCATCAGCAGCAGGTGCACTCAACCCGCCCGAACCTTGAGCCGCTGCAGATCGCAGGAACACCCCAACGAAAAAGTGCCTCAACCAACCTCCCATCGAGCCTTGGGCCAGGGCCTGAACGACTTCTTCGCCATCCTGCGCCAGCAGCCTCTTCCGGCAGACTTAGAGGAAGATCCGAGGAAACTCACCGCCACGAGCTCAGTCTGGGAAGTATCACTATGAGGACTCCTATGAAGCAGATGATGACTGGTGCTGCTGATACTATGCATGTGCTAGCTGGGGCATGGGGTCTTCAAGATTTCGACAAAGCGTTTGGTCTTTAGGGATCTGGGCGGAGGCTGGGGCTCTGGGCTTTTATTGTAAGGAGGTCTGGCTTCTGTTCAAATATTCAGATCATGTGAAAGGATTGTTCATGGACTCCCATATTCTGCATTAGTTCTACAATGCTACAAGGATTCACGGCATCGTTCGGATCAGGGATTAGGCTTTTGTGTTAGAAGCTGGTGCCTTCTTTCACCCTTGACTCCAAAGGTCTTCAACGCCGCTATTGCCAAGGCTATCCTGGAAATGTACAAGGCTCTGGCTTTTAGGTTTAGGTTTGAACATTGCCTGTCGGAACCATGAGACTGAATAAGCTTATACCTCGTGTGTCTCGGGTAGCATCGGGTAGCATTGGTACTAGTGGCAGTGTCGCACAGCAAATATGTGGTGTGAGCATACGCTTATCGAGAACAGCAAGATCTAGTGCGGATGCTTTTATGAACAAATTACGGAGATCACCAGTGGGCACGCAGTCGCCAAATTCTTGAGGCCGAAACACTGAGATCCAGGTTCCACCACGACAAGTACATAATGCGGCCAAGTCAGCAGAGCAGAAAACTCACACCAAGAGATCACCATCCTTCACTGAAAGCACGCTCCCAGAGTTCACCTGAAGCAAATCAAGGCAAGTCACACACTTTCCCTTGCCTGATGCAACCATTGCCGGCAGAAGCGCTCTCCACCGACCGTCAAGTTGTTGCAGAGCAAGCTGCGGGAGAGTGGCCATTTTACCGAGGTTGGGTTGCAGAAGTGATCAGAAGTTTGACTTTTTGAAGTCATAGTTGTTAGGGTGCCGGAGATTTCGTCGGGATGTGCACTGGAGTTTTCTTGTTTTGCTTTGTGGATGCTGGATTTGTCAGGGAGAGCCAGCGTCTTGCGACATTCTGGGTTTGCTCAGCAGCAACTCAAAAAGATTGCTTGAAGATCGCTCGATCGTGTGGGATGTTCGAAGCTGGGGTTGCGATGGTTGATGCCATACTGGACCATGCTTGTTGTCATGTCTCGATTGCCAGAAGATTGTCATCCTTATTCCTCGCAGCAGTTTGTTCACTGTTATCGCCCCTGCTGGTGGTTGTGGTGGTGGTGGTGGTGGTGCTGCTGCTGCTGCTACTCCTGCTGCTGTCGCCACTGCTTGTAGTATTGTAGTACCGCCGCGACCACCACCACCACCACCGCCACCACCGCCACCACCGCCACCACCGCCACCACCACCACCGCCACCACGGCCACCGCAACCGCAACCACCACCGCCACCCGCCATCACCGCCATCACCGCCACCACCGACATCACTGTCAGTACCACCACAACACCAACGACAACACTACTACTCTTTCAACTGCTTGCACTACTACTCACTACTATTCGTGGGGATGTTATAGTGGGAGCTTCTTGCACAGTTAGCAATCAGAACGTCTTATGCAGCCAGGAGCACATCCAATCGCTTCTCCTCGTTTGTGCAAGGGATGTGCCGTGGCATCCGTTTTGGCAGGTTGGGACAGCTTCTATGAGTGTCTGTACGTCTCTTCAAAACTCGTCGTGCCTTGATGTATCTTTGGAGTGTCAATGTCGGGCGGTTGCTAGACCAAAAGCCCGATATTCTTACCCAGGCCAGCTTGAATGGCTGGTGATCATGGGCCGCCATCTTCTGTGCAAGCGAATGTTATGACGATAAAACTTCCGATAAGACAGCAGAGACTTTGAGATATAGCGCGAGACACACCAGCAGGATGTCGGGGTCAGTTCCCAGGTGCCCAAGATCTACTCCATTCGGCAAGCCCCTATGGGTGCGCAGCCGGTCATTCTGCTTACCAAGCCTCCGATGTGGTTCCAGGGCTTCCAAGACGAGGATCTGGTTCAGGACCGGGATTCTACGGCTCATGGGCGCTGGAGCTAGCGCCTCTTACGATTTGTGTGGCTAGGATCTAGGGTTTTTTTCGGAGCAGGTTAGCCTTAGGGTGGAGCTTTGGAGGGCTGGTGGAGTTTGGTGTGATTGCTTAAACACAGTGCTCCTACAGGTACCCCTCCTCACGCAGACAGAGATCGGTCAAATAGGGCAGACAGATAGACGGACAGATGGAGACTGACAGACCCAGATTCAGGATTGCAAGGCACTAATTCACTAAATCTTACCGCGAGGTGAAGAGTATTTCTTACCCCAGCAGTGCCACTAGCAGCACTAGCACAAGCACCAAGGTTACTCTGTCAAGAATGTCGATAGCAAGTGGGGTCAGGCTCAGCCCTGCAAGTTCTTCGGATTGAACGCCGAGCGGCGGCTGCAGGAAGAGCCTGATTCAGCCAACACAGTTTACCCTGCCGCGG